AAGTGCTGATAGAATCTCTTTAGAATGGAAGACTCCAAGTTTTTTCATCCACTTTTCAATGATCACTTTTAGTGAATGATCTTTGGAGCATTTATTCCTCTGATGGTTCAAAACCAAACCACCAAAAATTACTGGGCACCATATATGTATAAGAAACGGTGCTACTCAGGACAAGGAGATACAGAAACAGTACTGCACTATTTCTCCCTAAAGAGGAATGAAACCTATGGTCTCTAACAGGGGTCCTCAAACTTTTTAAACAGGGGCCAGTTCAGTGTCCCTCAGACCGTTGGAGGGCCGGACTATAGTTTAAAAAAACAAACAATGAACAAATTCCTATGCACACTGCACATATCTTATTTTGAAGTAAAAAAACAAAACGGGAACAAATACAATATTTGTATTTGCATGTGGCCCACAGGCCGTAGTTTGAGGACCCCCGGACTCTCTAAGTTCCCTGGGTCATGGGGAGTTTAAAGATAATTTCTTGGAGGATCATATATGTTCAGTGGTTATTGGCAAAATTTTGAGTGTGTGTGATTGCATCTGAGTAGTAAAGGCATCCTATTCCTCCTCCATCCCCAACCACCGTTACAACAAGTGAAGAGCCTTGGGAAATCTAGCTGGCAAGGCAATTTTACAATCACTGTACAGTGAACAGCTGTAGTTAAGTGGATTATCCTAGCTTAGTTCTTCTGTAAGATTACTATGTTCGATACAGGCAGAAATTTGTGGGATTTAGTAGGTGGCATTTTTCCTGGTACTGACTTGATATTCTTGTTAAGGCCTTTCTTTAAGCTAGTAGGGTAAATTATTGTACTAGAAATGTTAATTTTACAGTTTAAAAAATTAAACTAATTATTTGCCATTTTTAAAGTTCCTGCACTGTTTTGTTTCCAAGATTAACAAACATTTATTCATGATCCATTTTTTACTGTCATTGTCCATTCATAAATAGCACCTATGAATACTTGAACTTAGAAGGTTCCCAAACCAGTGGATTGC